AGGGTTTAGGGAAAAATTAAAAACAAAGGAGACAAAAGGGGCTAACGAACCAAGCTAGATGTATATGCTAAGAATTTGTTATAAATTTAAATAAATAATGTGACAAACGTTTCGATTTGTAATAAAGTCAATGTGCTAAAACAGTCACTTACAAACTAAATCGATGATATCTTTTGGGGAATTATCAAATAATTCCCCAAAAAAGATCAATCATAAAAACTTTACCGTTTACTGGAAAAAAAATTCATTAAATATATTTTAGCCGCTCCAGATAGAAACTCTTTTAATATCATATCAAATGTTAATTTGATCAATGCATGCGGTTTTCAGATTTAATATTAGGTTTAATGTTAAGTTTAATGTTGGGTTTAATGTTTCAACAGCTCTTCAATATTTTTATAGAATTTTGTAGAATTTCCATTCCCGCATTTATTTTATGCTCTGCTTTTATCCTTGACTTTTATTTTTTCATTAGAGCCATATTATATTACAAATTATTATATTATATTACAAATCTTTTTCTTGCAGTGCATAGAAGTAAATAGTTTTTGCGTCTGCATACCACGATAAAATGCACGAAATAATTTCTTTTCATTATCCTGCATCAGTAAATCGAAATTCAATATATCTGCAGTGAGGAAAAACCAGAGGTCTTAACTATATATACATCGTGTCAACGTGGCATCCTTCGACTTTAATTCTAAGACCGTTCGCGCGATCGTTATTTCATTACGGTAAAACTCGAAAAGGAGATACGATAAAGATCAACGATTAATAAAGATCCTCTTCCATGTGATTCGAAAATATATTGCACGATCGATTCGAGTGAAAATTTCTCGCGATCTTGTTCGCAAGAAGGAAAATAACCGGTCGGATTGTAGATATCAATCGAATTGTTTATTAAAGTTGTTTGTTAAAGTAAGTCACGAGGAAGGTATCCAGCACACAGGAACTATTATATAGTTATCACTCACTGACAGACGAACCCCGAGGTTAGAGTCACTCGCGCGGCTCGCGTAATCGCTGATAATTAATCACGTATCGCAATCGCACGTAACGAGAGTTACTCATACCGAATATGGATCCCCGGTAGCTTGACATAGCGATCGACGTTGCACGTGCCGTTGCCGGTTGACATAGCAAGACTTTAGGCCTCGAAAAGACTTCCTAGCGATTTTGCTCGTCGGCCAGACGGATCGATCTGGAAGAGTGCAGGAGGCTGTGCCTTACCCTCTGCGTCGCGACGCCCGATGACAGTGCGGCACCGTGGCGAGGGTGGATCGCGCCCCGCGATGCGCAGTAAATGCCGAGCATGTTTACCTCCGCGATAAATGCCAACGAAAATCGTTGACGAAATCAAGGACGAAATAGAGCGGAATCTCATCGACGACGTTGCAAAATTGAATCGGGAGCTAGGTATCTCTGCCGCTTTTACGTTAGACTTTGGAACAGAGGACGCCTTTGGAATAAATAAACAAGATGTTCATTTGTGTGAAGTAACCTCGTATTAAGCAATATTTGATTTAGATAGGATTTTATGCTAATTGATGTCAAATCTGATAGTCTATATTTTTTGTACGTCGATCTGAGGTTGAAGTACGTGATGGCGAAGTATTAAGAAATACGATCATATCTCGCGTAAAAGATTTATATATTACTGACGGTATCTGCATTGCCGTTGATCAAAATTTTTAAATGTTTTTTAAAAAACTGTATCTTACTTTATTACTGTGTTACTTTATTAAATTTCAAAATTTTTCATCGATCCAATTATTGATGTAACGACTAACTGGAAATAAAAGATTATTAATCTGATAAAGTATAGTTCTGTATGAAGAATATCATTTTTTTGAAGGAAAATATATTCAAACAATAAGATTATGATATATTTCTCATGTTAACACTTTATGTATAAAATTATTATGTGCTTTTCAATGTTTCTAAATTTATTTTTATACAATAAAACACTTCTATGACATTCTTAAGTTATCTAACTACGAGTGTACTATTTTTAAACTTGTTAATGTATCAAGAAAACATTGTCTTGTACAATGGTTTTTCACATGCACTAAACACTTAATTGAAAGACAATAAGACGCATCATGTATAATCTACTTTTACTTTTCCCGTTTTACGCTACAATAAGTACGAGACCGGATAACGTTTTCAAGATACGTGTTTTAACCTTTCGTGATATTGCACCGTAAAACGGATTCGCTCTGGCCACATTTTGTGGGACAGTTATAGCGCGGCCTCACATAAATGTATAAAACGCTCTTTGTCTTGAATTAGAAAGTTACGATAGTACGTCGGAGGATGGTAATTAAACGAGAAGAAGGGTGGGGCAAATGGAACAGCGAGTGCGGCAAGCATTCATGGTGTAAGTCGCGTGCTATGCGCGGACTCCAATTGAATTAAACTTGATAACATTTCACTATTATTTTGATTAGATATACGCGAAACATCGATTTTAAAAGAGCATGACTATATTGATAAAGAAATTTGTACGCGCAATCATTTGCTTGTCTTATTTGTTTTATAAACGTATTTCCTAATTCTTCTCGCGATTAACCCTCCGTCATATGGGGCTTTAAAGCTCCAAGTGAAATGTCTTTCTCGCATTTCTTCGTGGAGGCGGTGTTTGGCATCCCCCCTAAAGAAAGTTGACAGTAGAGGGGTTTCGCTGCCGCGGTGACGCCCGCGGTTTCCGTCAATGCGTGTTTGAGCTAGGACCCATGTGGATGACGGCGTTACTGTTTACCGACGTAAGTAAATGTTTTTTTTTCGGTTTTTCACTATATTTCTAATAGTTTTTGCTAATTAAAGCACTTCTATCATTAGTAGAGTATTATTTACAAAATGACGGAAAGAAACGCCGAACAATACAATACTTTTTTACTTTTTTCCTTATAGAAATTTAATACTGTAAGTGATTTTTTGGCTAGTAATTAATCACTTAAAACACTATTAAATGATTAATCACTAGCCAAAAAATCACTTACAGTATTAAATTTCTATAAGGGTTATTTATTATTTTCTTTTATATTTGTAATGATATTTTATATAACTAACAATTTTTTACAATAAAAGTTTATTTCTAAGCAAAAGAAAGTTAAACTTTATTTTTCTCTGTATTTAGCATACGAATAAATCCCTCTCAAATTTCATCATTTTTATTTGTTAAAATAATTATACTTTTTGGAGTCGACCCAAATTAGACTACATTCTTTTGAAAGGTCATAGTCTGAAGTACAAAATTCTGCAATCACTTTTGTTAACATTTATTTGTTGCAAAGTTATACATTTCCAAACAAATTTCCATTTTTTCCCATTTATATTCAAACTTCGCTGTGTATAAACAATTCAGTTTAATATTTGACTTTAAAACCTATTATATATTGTAGTAGAGATGTTGACAACTAATTCAGAATTCTTTAGGATTTTTTGAAAGCCCAGAACATAAAAGAATATAAAAGTAGGGTGGACTTAAAAGCCCCATGTGAATGACGGCGTTAGCAGAAACAGATGGATGACGGAGGGTTAATAATACGGCATAATGATTTAATTTTAAAGGAACACAAGCATCACATTGAGCTACGAAATTTACAATATAAAATATGGCAGAGGGTAAATGTTTCATTAATCGCGCGTTGAGCTTAAATATCATTTTATGTACAAATATACACATGACAAATTATTAATCAAACGTATTTTATAATATTTCGCGTATAAATAATTTTTATTTTATTTAAAAAATGCAAATGCAATTTTTTTATCGCCTCTAGTGACATTATACGTGAACTTATCTCTTTCCTTGAATTTGTTTTCCACTTAGCGAAAGCATATTAGTCTAAACGGACAGTAATTACTAAGTGGTTGCATTTTCGACGTTTAAATGAAAACGTGCGCGACATTGAAATATTTTCCACGGCGTTCCCAGAAACGTGGTACTTCGAAATTTACTCATTATAAATTCATTTTAGCGCTCATTTAGAATTCTTCATGGGCACGTAGGTGCTTCGCTTGACTATTGAATTAGTTCACGTGTACCACTTTAAAAATGTAATTGATCGTAGAGTATCTATTTATGGGTAAAATTCTTCTGTTTCACAATACGAAAATTATATCAACTGTTTTAGAAATTGATCCGAAACGATATATACGTCCATAAAAATTTTTCATAAATTTATGACGCCTATGCGACGGCTGGATCTGCAAGACCCTAGCTTCCGCTGCAAGTTTTTCGGGGGGTAAAGAGGCAATGCGGGAGACTCTGTAGTTTCTGCGCAAGGAAGAAACCGAGCGTGCCGCACCACGGGCTCCGGAAATCGTGCCTTTCTCACCCATCGTCATCGCGATGACGCGCGGACGCGTGCACGATTGTTCTCCCGTCACCGGTTTTCATTCAGCATTATAACCGAGCTCTCTCGTGTTATATCACGATTAATATCGCGTGTTTTCAGCCGCGATTCGCGTTTACCGTTCCGACACTCGCGCGCGCGTGTTTGTATTCGCGATAGGGTGACAATCGCGAGAGAGCGCGGAGGGTTAGGGCCCCGCGATTGTAAATTCTGTTTCGTCCGTGGAACGTGAACTTGGCATTCGTGTGCGTGTGCCGGCTTTTAACGATCTCTCGTGCCACCTTCGTACCTGTAATTTACGAGCCGCTTTGGCCCACCTTACGCGCGCGGCACGATCGCCCGTGCATCATGCAAAACGCTTCGCTCGCGACGCGACCGACGTCCGGCTCTCTTTCTCTCTTTCTCTCGGCAGAAATGAGAAGGAAAGAGAGAGAGAGAGAGAATCGACTCAGCTGTCGCGGATCCGCGGACTACGTCATCACGGCCCTGCAAGAGCAGAGCAGACCTTCCAAGGGCGCTGACGGTTTGAACCGCGGCACTGCCGGCGTCGCGACGCTTGCGCGCCGTCGCGCCCCCGACGGCGCTCGGTGCACGGTGGGCGACGGTGGCCCAGGGGCGGCAGTGCGGGTTCAGGGGGCGGCGAGGGTGGGTGCCTCCTCCGTTGGAACTACCCCTTGACAACAGCCCCGCGACCATTCTCACCCTCGGCGGCCGCGGCGGAGGCTCCGCTTCGCAACACCGAAGCGGGTCCCCACCGAAATTCGCGCGCGCGATCAATCGGGAACAGTGGTGCGAATCAATCAACAACGGTCCCCGGGTACGAGACGTCGGCCTGTCCGTCGTTCTCATCCGCGGGGAGACGGAACCCCACGGCGTGCTCGGAACGTGAACGACAGCCTGCCGTTCGTTCAGGTAAATCGATTAAAACGCGCGTGTATTATATACGCACGCCAATTTAATGCGAGACGCAAATGACCGGCAAATATCGGTCCAAGAAGACTATACGTGTAGTGACGCGACGGACGCGAGGGTACGAGGGGACGACACGTCCACTTGACGTATGTACATCTGGACCGGAACCTTCTTACAAGCCGCGGGGTTGCAGGGGGAGGATTGGGAATTGCACAACACGCACAACACCGGCTACTGGACCGGCACGGCATATACCGCTTGCGGTCTCGCGAACGTACCCGCGCCGGTACGTCGAACGAGATACGCACATTCGCCTCTCTCTCATCTCGTCATCATCGCGAATTCTCCGTTAAAGCACCATCGGCAATTTCTCGCGTTCACCCGGCGTGCGTGCGTACGACCTCCGACGTCGTTTTACGAGGATGTGCTCCCATTGATACTTAACGCAATTTGGCTATCGAATTATCGTCAAGAGTGCCCAGCGCGCTTTTTCTCTGCGAATAAAACTCTCGCTGTTTCAATTCCCAACTGTAAAGTATGCAGATACGACGTAAGTAATGCGAGAAGGTGATCTTGTACGTGCGAGCGTACAGTTTGGCGCAATTTCGTGCTAAACAGCACAACTGAAATCGATTAACGATAAAACTGTAAAGACTGCAAGATTAAGATCGTTAGCAGATATTTTTACTGCGGTACTTTTCCTTCATTGTCTGTTTACGCTCGTATAACCGATTTATTATGGTTAATAAACGAGCGCGGAACTTGTTTACTGCGGCGTTGCGCACCGTGCGAGTTATTCGAGTCGTTCTCTTTCGCAGACGTAAGAGAGAGAACAGGTAAATTATAAATTTGCGAAACGCTACGTAACCAATTTTATCGATCGGGATATTCATCACGTATCACTCGCATCTCGGGCGCCGCGATTTTTTTTGCAATTTCTTCGTCCGAAGCCAATTTGCAGGAATAATATTGAGCGCCATTATAAAACAAATTTATTTCAGCGTCATTTACGCATCAGCTTTTTATTCCTCGATGTAAAGCGATAATGGATATCTCGCTTTTTTTTTTTTTTTTAACTTGCTGCACGACCAATAATTGGACGACTTGCGTAACGCAAGCGTAACCGTGAATCGGTTGCGTCGTAATCTCACGAATCTAAGTTCGCGCGTACGTTAAAACACAAGAAGCCTTACTGTCCGAGGAAATTTTGTTGAAGGTTATGCTGACCCACATTGCACCGCGGACGCGTAATATCGCCGGCATTTCTTGCGTATCCGCGCAAATTGTCTTACGCGTTTCTATTATGTGAGAATGTCAATACGCGTGACATTATTTAACAAACACACATAAATTACAATTGCATTGTACGGCTGCGATTACATAAAAATAGAAAGGACGGACCAATTTTTCGATCTGATAATTATTTTGAACAGAGTTGATCTCTAATTTGATGTTTACCACAAATATTACTTTATATAATATCGATAAATGATTTTTACTAGTCTTCGAATGTCGTAATAATATATTTCGCAATGAAAACAGAGCCTTAATTACGCCTTATCAATAGTAGGGAGAGCTTTTTAGACCGTTTAATATGGATAAAAGATTAAAGTCTAGCTGAACTCCGGCGTAAAGCACTACAAACAACGAGCCAGGCCTTGAAAAGTTCAGATTATAAAGCTTACGCTAATAACATGCATTAACGCTGAGCTCAAACTGTTCGCGCAATTCGTGATTATATATATATACATAATATTCTCGCCGATACGTATCAATCTGCGGAAACTGAAACCAGCGTGTGGCGATAATGAATAAGCAGGCCATGTCGCGTGCCTTCGCTAATGCCGCACGACTCTTTTCACAAGTCCTTGAAAAGTTACGTATATCAATCTCTCTCGTCAAATTCAATTATCGATCACATCAAAATAAAGCAACGAGTTATTTGTCTCCGCGTAATTAATCTCGAGATAATCGGGAGGTTTCGTTCTCGAGGCCGACGTTTATAAGAAGAGTCGAAAGTTTACACGTCACTTACGCAGTAATCTTTCGGTAATTAGTTTCAGCATGGAGTGCCCCGAAGCGGTAGAACGAGGTCGGAATTTTCGTCTGCTAGCTGAAGAGGAGTTATCTAAGCTCTTGGATTTTCTTACGGAATACTTGCCTGACTCGTTGAAGGTATTATTATTCTGCACGCTGTTGTTCACCTTTATTGTAGTTAAAAATATAAATCTCTTCCTTATCGCGATTCTGGTTCTTTTTTTTGTTAACAGGCGCATGTTTATGTACTTAATGGTTTCTACGATAACGGATAAGGAAAAATTGTTGAGAAATATATTTATCATTTTACTGAGGAATAGTTCTATATATATTTAGACTTAGAACATTACATCTCTTTGTTGTCACCCGCTTGATACGGTTGTCTTATAAATTACCAACACGTTTCGCACGGAGGCTATAAAGCGCCGTCAGCTTCTAATTTGATGTTGATGAAAGCAGAAGAAGTATTACGGAAGAGTAAAAGTTCCCGACGTCCAGTAAAGAGAATGCGAATAACATAGGGGAATATATATAGGATCGCTCAACTAACGATATACAACTGCAAAAGGGAGTGATTCCTAATTAAAAAATAAATTGAAAATATATAGTAAAAGTTTTTTCATTACAGGAGACTTTGTTTATATGTATATAAATAGCTATAAATAATATTTCTGCCCAGATATTATCGACGTTGCGTTGCGCGTTTCCCACGATACTTAATAAAGTTCTTAAATTGTCATTTTAATATAACTTGACATTCAATTTTAATTTCGATTTTTATTTCGTTTACTTTTAATGTTCCTACTTTTCCTACTTTATTCACGTACTTTCAAAAATCACTTCAGAAGACTGATAAATATTGAATTTTCTTATGTTTGCAAGATCAAAGAAGGAAGGAAGAAAAAAAAAGAACATTGTGTTTTTTGACGGTTAATTATTTTATTCAGCGTGCAAATTAGCCCCCTTCTATAAATAACGATCTCGGACCACGTTCTTCAAACACCAAATTAAACCAACAATTATTTTGCTGATCAATAATGCAATTAAAGCCGCAGAAAGCAACATGAATTCGCAATACGAGAGCCAGGCTAATATCAAATCCATTATTTTGTAACCTTTGCAATAATCTGCTTCCGCGCCCCACGCACCGCCGTCTCACGTTTTACTCTCGATGTAACAACAATGTCTCGGAATCGATATAACTCAGCATACACCGTGAGAGCGTA